CAAAGTAGTCGAGTGTAAACGAGAAGAAACAAAACAATATAAAACCACACAATTGCAGATATTGTATGAAATAGTTAGAGATATATCGTACGACTAAATAGACTGAAAAACACTTCTACCCTTGACTATCTATGCGCAAAATGAGAGATAAATGGAAAAGAAACAAGAATTCAACGAAACAGCTTGAAAATACTTTCACTTTGACTGATACTTTGTTATTTGAAAAAAAAGCTTTAGATTATTCATTCACGGAAGACAGTGACAAGTGGCAACAAATATTTTGTAAAGAAGAAATCACAAAATAGCCAAGATTAAATCTTTATTAAATTAACGAATTGTGTATAAAACGAATTTTGGATGGAATCTGTGAATGCCCATTTACTATAATGATATTTAATGGTTTTTAATTTCTATCCACTTAATATATAACCGCATTAATATAGTGAAAATAAAAACTACTTATAACATAGATTTAAAAGTTTTTTTCAGTTTAATAGACACAGAAATTTTAATCTCACCTTCGGAGCCGATGGTGAGGATGAAGCAAAATGTTGATTTATTTCATAAGCATTCAATGTTTGCCTTAATTGCTCCACGTCGTCTAACCTATTTAATTTTATAAAACAAATACACAATAATTACATGTTGGAAGGAAGTTTTAGAATCATCACATATTACTGAAAATTTTGAATAAAGATGCATTTTAATAATATGCTTTTTGTTATATTCTAATGAATAGAAAAATTGTATTCCCGACGTTTCGTGACTCAATGTAAAGCATTTCTCCGGAGTAAACAAATAACCAGATTAAATTAACACTGGTTTAAATAGTACTATGTCAAAATTGACAAATATAAACTTTACATGTGCGACATCAATACACTAGAAATAGTAATAAATAGTATGAAAGTTTAGCTACAACCACGATCAAAAATGTAACTTCAGAATTAAGATTAGAATTATTTGAACGCTACAGAGACTATTTACTAGACAAAGAGTTTGAAACCCACTGTATCTAAAGAACCTCCAGCAACCAACAACTAGCACATTACTATTACCCGACCGTTGCTGCTACCTTGATGTGGTGTTTGGGATCGCCTATGGTGATGACTCAACCTAGCTATATTGGCTGGAACACATATCTCTTTAGGCCCTACCATACAAGGTAGGTCGTTTGGAGAACGGTAGGATCAAAGTCCAAGGGCGAAGACGTACTCCTGACTGTAGAGAGGTGTGATAGCAGATGTGACGATTTCTCACAACGGAAGGAAGGGGTTAGAAAAGGTCGACCCTAAGAATATCACACCTCGCCTTACCCCACGTATTTCCATCTCCGGCGGTTCGGTTTCAACAAGTACGGAGCTAACAAGAAGACATCGTGCACGACTGGCATCAAGCAGTTGTCCTTTGGGCACAGCGGTCATGCTCTCAGGTAGCTAAAACCATATTTTCAAGTACCTCTAGAGCAACCCTTCCACGGTGTGGGAAGGGAAGTGATAACCGCCCTCATACCTCTAACAGAACTCAATACCTCTGTATTCATAATTCCCCTCTTTAATACCTATTATTCCCCCTACTTCGATTTTCAACTCCAAACTTCCTCTCTTGCTTGCTCCTCAAGTGTCACCATGCCCAACTATTCTAGTAAGCGAAATACCGTCTCACGTCTACTGAAACCTGACTTCAAACTAAACATTGGAGTCTTCAACGTACATACCCTATGTCAAGTCAGATAGTAGGCCTTCCTGGCCAAGGCCCTAGAATCTCGTACCATTGATGTATGCTGTGTCTCCGAAACACACATACAGGATCCCAGCGTGGTCATTCACATGATCACATCTCGCCAAAACGGAGAACCGACGAGATACACCCTCCGTATGTCTGACAACACAATGGCTAGTTCTCGTGGACTGTTGGGTATAGGCATATCACTAAGTACAAGGGCAGAAAAAGCACTATTAGAGTGGATGCCCGTTAACAGTCGCCTACACGCTGTTCATCTAAACGGCTCCGTAAGAACTCGGAAGGATAGGGACATACGTCGTTGTCTTTTCGTCGTTTCTGCCTACGCTCTCACTGACTGAAGCCGGGATGAAGTGAAAGGTGACTTTTACAGAAATCTCTCTGAACTTTTTCATAAAGCTAAACGCTCATACATAGTACTCGTAACAGGTGACTACAATGCCCAAGTAGGTAGCCTTAACCAAATAGAAAGACATTTAAGTGGGTATCTTGGTATTCCAGCCCTTACTTACTTACACCTGTTACTCCCAATGGAACAGAGGCCGCCGGCCAGCATTCTCTAACTCACTCTGTTCCGTGCCTTCCGTTCTAGTTCTATACAATTTTTATTCATTCTCAAGTCTGTTTCCATTTCTTGGCGTAATGTGTTCTTTGGTCTTCAGGATTCCATGTGACGCAGTTGTGTGCTTTCCTCAATGTCCACTTCCAGCGCTTCTTCCTGACTTCTTCCTCCATTGAATTCTGGTTTGTTCTCTCCCACAGAATGTTGCTGATAGTGTCTGGCCAGCGGATCCGAAGTATCTTGCGTAGACAACTGTTGATGTAGAGTGATGAATTCCATTCAATTGATTGTTCCACAATGATCCATAGAGTTGCGATTTGATCTGTACACAATCGATCCTTACGAAATCCAGCCTGTTGGTCTCGAAGTTGGGCGCCTACGGGGTCCTTCATTCTCTTTAACAATACTCTGTTGAAGACAGTTCCTGGTATTGAGAAGAGTGATGCCCCTGTAGTTTTCACATTTGCTGAAATCGCCTTTTTGGTATCTTGATCAAAAGTCCTTTTTCCTAGTCTGTTGGTACTTGTTCTTCATCCCAAATCTTACTGAAGAAAATGCAGAGTATCTTTGCACTTACTACTACTTCTGCTTTCAGTGCCTCTGCCGGAATGTTGTCTGATCCCGCTTCTCTGTCGCACTTGATTTGTTTTATGACCATGCTGATCTCTTCAATTGTTGGTGGGCCAACATCAATTGGGAGGTCCGTGGGTGCTGCTTCGATGTTGGGTGGGTTCAATGAAGCTGGTTGATTAAGGAGTTCTTTGAAGTGTTCTACCCACCTGTTTCGTTGTTCTTCAATGTCGGTGATTACTTTACCTTCCTTGCTTTTCACTAGTCGTTCTGGTTTGCCGTAATTTCCAGCGGGTTTCTTTGTTGTATCATACAGATGTCTCATGTATCCTTCTCTTGAAGTCCGTCGTCATTGCTAAATCTTCCACATATTTACGTTTGTCGGTTCTGATGCTCCTCTCTACTTGCTTGTTTACTTCTATGTATTCAGCTTGTGTCTTAGCTTTCTCTGTTCTTGTTCGGCTGGTATTGATTGCTGCCTTCTTGTTCCTCCTTTTTTCAATCTGATTCAGTGTACCAACAGTAATCCGTTCCTTGTGATGGTGATTTTTGTGAACCAGAACCTTCTGACATGTTCAAGTGATTGCCTCTTTTATCCCTTCCAAGTTGCTCTGCATAGTAGTTCCCTCTCCATTGACTAGATCATGAAAGACCTGGACTTTATTGTTGAGGGCTATGTTGAAAACTTTCGTTGTCGAAGCAACAATGTGAAAACCTTCTAGTGATAAAACGTAACAACCATACCTTAAATTCAGATCTTGCCCCTCAAATGTCTAGTTATTAAGCAGCTATTCTGTAGGATCATTGAGTTAAACTCTTTATTTTGAGTACTTGTAACTTTCATCTATCAGGAAAATATGAATGCGAAAGCACTCTGTAGCTGCTAAATCCCGAACAGAACTAGGAATGGTAACTTTGAGGACTATTTATAGACCAATATAATACCTAGATTTCTTATTGTATAATTGTTAAGTAGATTAACTATTCATATTCATGTTCCTCTTATTATGAGCTTTATTTTGACCCACAGACTATTACTGTACGATTTACCATTCCTGAGTTATCCGCCGTCTATTAACCACTGTTCCGCTTATTCACAGCCACATTTAGCTGAATCTTGTACAAATGCTATTTTCTACTTTATGGTACGATGTGGTCTGTCTGTTTGGTATATAAACCCAGTATGTTTGAAAATAATGATTCATATTGCAGAGGCTGTTGTTGGTGTTCTGGACTCAACTGGAAGGGCTAGGCAAATAGCAGGACCGATAAGTGCTCTAGACTGCTAGTACGGCTTTCGTGTATCGCGCAGACAGACTACAAGTCATAACAGTAACCAAAAGCACCTCCTGCTAACCATTCATCCTACCCCAAGCACTCTCTGTTTTCCATCAACCTTACTACTCAATTGCTCACGTAAGCTCTATTAAAACTCTTGCAAGAGTAAATTACAAGTTCAAATTCTAAACAATTCACTATTCACTGATCGAAAGCTAACTACAATTCCAGCTGAACTGATATTTGAAACTAAATAAACTTTTTATTTTGTACGTAGCTCGAGAAGAAGTTTCAAGACACAATGAATTATTCGTATTCTGTCACTTTACTTCGTTCAAAGTTGTTAGAGAGCACCATTGACATGAAATAGGAGAAGATTCACCGTTGTCCAGTGCTTTTCAAGTTTTAATTTCATCTTTGCAACCAGCAAGTGATGAGCTGAGGCTACATCAGCTCCTCCCTTGGTTCTCCAGTCGTCTTTCTGAACGTTTTGTTGATGCAGATATGGTCAATTTAATTCTGCATAGTGTGATCTAGTGAAGTCCATGTGGTCATGTGAATGCGTTTGTATGGAAATATAGTGCCGCCTATGATCAGTTTATTGAAGGCACATAGGTTTGCAAACCTCTCACCATTTTCGTTCCTTTCTCCCAGTCCATGCCATCCCATGACGTTTTCGTATCCAGTGTTGTCCTTTCCAACCTTGGCATTGAAATCTCCCATCGGAATGGTCAGGTCCTTGGTTGGGCACTTCTGGAAGATCGACTGCAGCCTATCGATAAATTGATCTTTGGCGTCTTCATTGTAGTCGTTGGTAGGCGCATACCATTGGATGACGTTGATTGTGATGCCCTCTCTCTTTGTTTTGAAGAAGGATTGATGATCCTTGGTCAATGGGATTCCCATTTCATTATGGGGTCTCATAATTCTCCCTTCAACTCCCAGGGCAGAGTTTAAATGGTTTGAATTATTTTTCCTAGTTAGCGTTTTTTTAGCGAGTTAGTTTTCTACAGGATGGGGTCGCTAACCCCATGCGCAACTCTCCTTCCTTATCCGGACTTGGAACCGGTAGTGGCCCCCGGGGGGATACAGGCGAAGTTATTCCAGTCCAGCGAACAGATAATAGTGATCGTCAGCTGCAACTGTGCTTAGACAATCGTTTATTTTTGGGAAACACTAGTTTTAGGCATAAGGAGAGATATTGTCTCACATGGCGACCTTCTGAATCAAACCAAAGATGGACTCAAGTAGACCATATTGTCATTAGTCATCGTTGGAGAGGCTCGACAGAAGACTGCCGCTCGTTCTGGAGTACATGTTTAGACTCTGTAGATGCTCTAATACGAGAACGAATTTGCTTGTGCCTCACTGGAACCTGACAGGAGGAACACTTTAAGGAACAGTTTGGTTGGTCTTCAGCTACTCTACAACTACTCACCATTTCTAAACAGCCTGAATGGAACAATGAAATAAGTCCCCCACCTCTAATTAAGGTTCACAAAGTTATAGCTAACCTAAAACAAGGAAAGGCAGCTGTTCCAGATGGAGGTCTTTAAGGATGGTAGTCCAGTTTTAGCGATTAGGTTGACTAATATTTTAGTCGGAATCTGGGAACTGAATGTAATCCCATCTGACTGGTCGCAATCATTGATTATCCCAATATATAAGAAGGGATCAAAATCATCCTGTGATAACTATAGATGGATTAGTTTGATTAATATCGTATCTAAAATACTAGTCTCAATTATCATCGGACGCCTAACAAAGACTCGTGAACTGCAAACACGAGAAAATCAGGCTGGCTTCAGACCTAGTCGTGGCTGCATCAACCACATATGCATCATTCGTCAGGTTTTTGAACACAGACATGCTTATCGGCGTCCGACAATGATAGTTTTTCTTGACTTGAAAGCAGCATTTGACTCTGTAGACCGAGAGGTTCTGTGGCAGTGTCTGTCATTGAAACGTGTACCTCAGAAGTACATAAACCTTGTGAAGGCTCCTCACTCGAACACTACCAGTCGAGTGAGAGCTTATGGCGAACTGTCATTTAATTTTATAACCTCGAGTGGTGTTCGACAAGACCGTCCACTATCCCCGTTTTTTTGTTTAACTTCATTATCGACCTATTGCTGGAAATAACAGTCTCGTCGACTTAATTTTCAGGAATTGGTCTCCTACCAGGAGGTCCACTTATCGACTTAGAATACGCAGATGACATAGTCCTGTTTGGTGAAGACGCTGATAAAATGCAGAATCTTTTGTTAGCACTGAGTAATAATGCTAGGATATTTGGAATGCGTTTCTCTCCCTTTAAATGTAAATTGTTACTTCAGGACTGACCTGCGTCAACACCTGAACTAAGGATAGGGAGTGAAGTATTCGAACGCGTTGACAACTTCACTTATCTTGGAAGTCTGATCAGCCCTAATGGGTTGATGTCTGACGAAATCTCTGCACGCAATAGAACGCTCGTTTGGTTTTTGCCAACTTAAGTCACCTATGGCGAAGACGAGATATCCATTTATCAATTAAAGGAAGAGTATACTATGTGGCAGTTCTGTTCTACTTTACGGCTGTGAAACGTGGTCATTAAGAGTAGAAGATACTCTTAAGTTACTATTATTTTATCATAGATGTCTTAGAAATACTGCTCGCATCTGCTCGGATTGCCAGGTAAGTAATAGTGAGGTTAGACACAGGGTATTAGGGAATGATGGTAAATCAATTGATGAGGTTGTGAATCTTGATTACCTGAGATGGTTGGGCCACGTGTTGCATATGCCTGAACATCGATTACCACGACGCGCAATGCTGACTAGAGTTGGAGATGGTTGTAAGAGAGTTAAGGACGGCCAAACCAAAACGTGGCATCAGTCCACAAAGTCACTAACTCCTGGTCTGAGCCATGTTGGTAGATGCAGACTACTTGGTTGGGGTACGTGTAACTATCGTACCCAGTATTTGGAGACTGTGGGTGGCATGGCTCAGAATCGACCACGATGGCGTAGTTGCATACACTATTTGTTTTATCCTAAACCGCGAGATTAGCATTACTTTACACCTTTCTTTATACGAACCAATTCTCCCTCCTTGTATGAAATTTTTTTACTACCATTGAAGGAACTATTTGTATGAATTTGGTGTTCCCCTTGTTGTGCTAATGAGGTATGGCAACTTGGACCGATACATATATGTGCCTGATCCGAAGTTGTAGTTGGTTGATTGATATTACTATAAAACTTAGTGATTACCCCAGCCAATATTAGTCATACATTAAAAATAATAAATAGCATAAAAAACAACTATGGTTTACATTTATTCCCACCCGTCTCCATACAACTGAAATATTTTTCTCATCCCTTCCTCCTTTGCATCCATTACAAAAGTGATATCGTTTATAATAGTTTTCTAATCAAAATTTCAGATCTTAGATAATATGAGCATAGAATATTTCTACAAACTTTGTTTAAATCGGAGTATTACAGAGTTGTCTTACTAAGACTGTGACTTCGATTCATAAATTAGTGATATAAAGTAACTTAAGAAAATTAATTATCCTAAACCAGTGAAACGAATCCATCAATTTTTTGACCGTTAACTAATCATTCGAGCAAAAAAGGTCTGCAACTTGATGTATTGAACACATATCTGGTTAACACTTGAAACTAGTACGGTTGCAAAAACAAATAGAGTCGAATGACCCAATAAGAGTAGAGGATAAACATCCATCATCCTCTATTGCCAAACATATAATTGAAACAGGTAATAAGATTGATTTAAAACAATTAGTCCCTTTGATAAATTTCGATAATGCAATGAGAAGACGAAGTTTATCAGAATTATGATAAACATAATTCTGATAAACTTCGTCTTCTCATTGCATTATCGAAATAAGATTGATCTTAACTCGGCTTTTGTTGTGTTGTTTAAAAGTGTGAAAGGGCGCATAATGAGGTTTATTGAAGCCTTAGCCATACGAAAATTCAAAACCCCTTTGTGTATTAAAAGACAGTTTGTTCTCTCCTTAAACCTACCCTGGTAATACATGCTTATTATCCAGAGTGATTAGGTGTCAAATTGTTTTCAAATTATTTTATCATTATTATCCTTGTCTATTCTTACACCTATTTCCAGTCTAGTTGACCTTTTATTTTTATATATAAATGTTCTTAACAAGTATATGTGTGATCAGATTGTTCGAAATGTATTGCGTTAATATATCACATAGTTCTGATAATCTTCGTCTTCTCATTATATTACGGTATCATCTAATAAACCTTCAAAATTTATTATTAGTGGTAAAGAAAAATACAACCGTCGTTTTGATGTTAGACACAAACGATAGAAATCATGTACCATATCAAATATACGGATTCAGTGTTTGATTTGTTTAAGGAATTGAGTAAAAAGGTACCACAATAAGAAGTTCAGTCTTCACGTCAAGTAAACACATTAGTGATGTAACTAGCATCGTTGTGAATATATCAAACCTGGTTACACAGAACCCAACTGTAGCATATTTTAAGAAATGAAATGAAATATTTTGTGTGTGCATGTGTTCATCTGCTGATGTGAAATTAGAATGGGGTTTAAAGAAGTAATATCGATATTCTATAGACTTCTGACATAAAGGGGCACAAGCCATGAACTAAATGAAAATGAATAAACCTCACACTACAGACAGATCAAAACGAACTGAGTAACAAGTAAATCCCTATAAACAGTTGAAAACAAAATCATATGCATCATTATTCCACTTTATCTTGCATTGAATTATGGCATCAAATTAGTGAAGTCAAAGTCATATACTTCATTTTTTTCATCATCACTTCCATATTTAGTAAAACTAGTTTCTTCAATAATAAAGATAAAATATCGACGAAAAGTCACTCCATATTATTATTATTCACATAAGTAACCAACCTTCTTTGAAGTTGCTTTAATGTTTGTTCAGCAACATTTAGCTTTTCTTGATTTTCACCAACGGAATTTTTCTCCGAAAAACTTGATGTATGGTAGAACCAATGAGAAAAGCTCACAAACGAGACGCATAACAATCCTATTGATAATGTGACTAGAGGAACATTCCCTGACACAAGTACTGGCTCTGTAAGTGAAATAGTTGAAGTAATTATGTATTGAATTAGAAACTTAGCTAAAACAAATAAACAGCTGGCAAAAAACTTTAAGAATTCTGTTGTCTACTAAAAATATGTTATTATTGTGAAAAAAATTGATTGTGAGGGAAGATCTAACACCGTATGCAATAAAAAAGCCAAATATTCTACCTTAATTTATGAAAAATATTTGTACGACCTCATCTTTGAATCGATGGTATTGACGTTGTTTACGTGAACCGTGGTGGTGGGATCGCCTATGGTGATGACTCAACCCAGCTGTATTGGCTGGAACACATATCTCTTTAGGCCCTACCATACAAGATAGGTCGTTTGGAGAACGTTAGGACCAAAGGCAGCAACTCAAAGTCCAAGGGCGAAGTCGTACTGCTAACTGTAGGGGTATGACAGCAGCAGGGTGTTTCAATCGGACAACCAGCATCTGCAGGGATGCTGCCTTCTCACAAGGAAGGAAGGGGTTAAAAATGGTCGACCCTAAATATATCACACCTCGCCTTACCCCACGGATTTCCGTCTCTAATGGTAAGGCCTTTAGAAGTGCACAGCTAACACATAGAAAACTCCCCACGAAGAAGACGTGTACGACCGGCATCAATAAGTTGTGCCTTGGGTTCTGCTGTCACGCTCCTAAATCGCGACTACCACCACTAACTCTGCTTCTTTTTTAGGTTCACCAACAAGAAATATCCTTCAACGGTGTGGGCAAACGGGAAGTCACAACAGCCCTTATATCTCTTCCAGAACCCGAGATTATCGTGTTGACGATCGAGTCCCCCCTCACCTATAAATAATTCTTCCATCTACACGACTAACCCTTCACATTTATCTTTATACACATGCGCCATCAATTATTTGAATTAACCAACTTATATTCCTGATGTCCAGAAATCACGTTCTAAACTACATGCTGGAGCCTTTGATGGTCAAACGTAGTCAGATAGAACAACAGTCTTATTTAGCCAGGACTCTAGAGTCTCGTGCCATAGACGTATGTTGAGTCTCCGAAACATGCATACAGGATCCAAGTACAGTCATTTATTTGACCTCATCCTGTCAATACACAAAACCAGCACGATTTCCGCCTCAAATATCTAGAGATCACACTGCTACCTCTAGCAGCATCGCTGGTGTAGACATTGCACTAAATTATAAAGTAGAATAGGCTCCGTCAAACTTGATTCCAATAGACACTCAACCAAACCGAACAGTGAGAACTCAGAAAGATAGGAACACGCGCCATCGCCTTCTCGTAGTCTCTGTCTACACTCTCACAGATTGCTACTCGAAGTTAGCGATGAATTTTATAGGAAGCTATCTAACCTCCTTCGAAAAGCTAAATGCACCGGTGCAATAATAGTGGCAAGTGATTTTAATCCCAAAGTAGGTAAACTAAACCAAATCGGAAGGCATTTAGGAGGATCCTACGGTGTTGAGGCTCATAGAACAGATAAT